AAACTGATCTTTCTTTACAGCTCTTGTAGCATTGTAGATGGGTTTGGTCCCTAGCCAGAAGCTGATGTCATCCGGGGMGTGTTGTGGGGGTCATGGCATAGAAAAGTTTGGGAACCCCTGACCAAACTTTTCTATGTCATGACCTCCCTGCTGCACATACAGATACAAAATCCAGAAACTGGACTGTTTGTGTTGTAGCTCAGAGGCGTATAGGACCTTGGGCAGAGAGCGAGACCCTTTATTGGATTTTGCYGGTATAATTGGCCATTTGATGGTCCGATCAATACATTTTGTCATTGTTCACTTCATCTGTTTTCTGACAGAGTTTGATTGACTTCCATCGGGGACTCCAAGTCGTTCCGGTTAGCYCTGCCATCTGTCGTTTGTTAGTCTGTGAGCGTGGTTCTGGTCAGTGAGATCATGACCCGACCACAGAGACGGTGAGAGCCTTCCTCAAGGACCTCCTTGACTCTTGCTGTCCAATAAAGGTCAGCGACAGGAAATAGTGGACAGTCTCACCTTTACATGTCAAAACAGCAGCTGTCAGACACATGACTCATGTCAGCTTTAATTTAATGAACCAGAACCAGGAAGGCCCAAACACAGATTTATCTATAGACAACATGAGCTGTTTGCACTAGAGGATGAAATAAAAGGGGCTTCATCTTATTTTATCTTCATTAGTTTAATGTTGTGGAGATAAACTCATAAATGGAGCTGTGAATTTCACATGGATGCTCATAAAGAGTGTGAAAGCTGCCACCACTGTTAATTTTAACATGTGTGCTGGTTCAAACAGAAAGAAAACGAAGCACATTTTGTACAATTTTAAAGGGGCAATGTCGTAAAATAAACTTTTTTGAGTTTTATATCATGTTATAATGTTATACTCTCATAAAAAAAACATGCCCAACGCCTTGCTCTGACTCATTCATGCATGTTTGAGAAATCCTGCAGCGTTTTTAGGAAGCCATGCTGAGGAGCAAAACGACAGGTGGGGACAGTGCTGGCTCCAGCCATTTTGGTGCCCTAGGTGAGTTGAAG